GTAAAATGTGCATCATTAAATCATGGGTGTGACACACAGTTCAATGGGCATATTTCCATAGTTAAGGAGACAGGAGCAAGGTCTGGATCCCAGAAGAAGTTACTAATGAGCTAATCAAAGGATTAGGGCCATCTCCAAAGGGACCAGAAGTCAGGACAAGACTTTAGTGTAATGAAAGAACCAGAGGACACTTAAGAAATCAAGCCAATCAAGAACTGGATGAAAATATAAAGGACTGGAGAAGATGGAGAAGCAATCCAATACCTGAGACACCTAGACCAAGAAGATACTCAAATATGCCCACCTCAGGTACACAACACATCAGACTTAACAGTCAAGACTTATCCAGGCACCAAGGCTGATAAAGAATAAGGCCTCTAAGAACCTATGGAATGGGAGAAAATATTTGCATACCATATATCAGATAAGGAGTCAATACCTAAAATATATTTAGATATACATCTAATAGCATATATCTCAATAGCAAAAAAAGAAGAAGAAAAAAAACCTAAGACCAAAAAAATCCAATTTTTTTAAATGGGCAGAGGATCTGAATAGATGTTTTTTCCAGAAAAGACATATAAATGGCCAACAAGAACATGAAAAGATGCTAAAAATCACTACTCATCAGGGAAATCAAAGCCATATGAGATACTACCTCACACCTGTGAGAATGGCTATCATCAAAAAGACAAGAGCCCGGCTGGTGTGGCTCAGTGGTTGAGCATTGACCCATGCACCAAGAGGTTGCTGGTTCGATTTCTGGTCAAGGCACATACCCAGGTTGTGGCCCAAATACCCAGTGGGGGGCATGGAGGAGGCAGCCAACTGATGTTCTCTCTCATTAATGTTTCTATCTCTCTCTCCCTCTCCCTTCCTCTCTCTCTAAAATCAATAAAAAAAAATTTTTTAAAAAAAGACAGCCCTGGCCAGTTTGGCTCAGCAGTTGGAGCGTCGACCTGCAGACCAGTGGGTCCCAGGTTCAGTTCCCGCTAGGGGCATGTACCAAAAAAAAAAAAAAAAGACGGATAATGAGCACTTGCAAGGATGTGGAGAAAGGAAATCCTTGTTCACTGTTGGTGAGAATGTAAATTGTACGGTCACTAGGGGAAACAGTATGGAGGTTCCTCAAAAATTACAAATAGAGCTGGCTGGTTTGGCTCAGTGGTTGGAGAGTTGGCCTGCAGACCAGAGAGTTCCCGGTTCAGTTCCTACTAGGGGCACGTACCTCGATTGTGGTTTATCCCCGGCCCCAGTTGGGGTCATGTGGGTGGCAACCACTCGATGTGTCTTTCTCACATCGATGTTTCTCTCTCTCTTCCCCCCTCTCTTTCTTCCACTCTATCTGAAGATGAATGCAAAAACGTCCTCAGGTGAGGATAAAAAAAAAATTCCAAGTAGAACTACCATAGGACCCAGCAATTTCACTTCTGGGTATATATCCAAAGGAAATAAAATCACTATCTTGAAGATATAGCTGCATCTCCATGTTTATTGCAGCATTATTCACAATAGCCAAGACAAGGGGAAAAAACTGTGTCCATATATATAATGTATAATATTATTCAGCCACAAAAACATAAGGAAATGCTGCCATTTGCATCAACATGGATGGACATTGAGGGCTTTATGTTAAGTGGAATAAGTCAGAAAGAGAAAGACAAATCCTGCATGATCTTACTTATATGTGGAATCTATTTTTGAACAAAAGCCAAATTCATAGAAAGTGGAATGGTGGTTGTGAAGAACTGGGGTATATGGGGGGGGGGGGTATGAGGAGGTGTTGGTCAAGGGGTATAAAGTTCCAGCTATAAGATGAAGTTCTGGGGGTGTTATGTGCAGCATGGTGACTGCAGATGATAATGTTATATTTCCTATTTGAGCAGAGCTTAAATATTCTCACCACACACAAATAAATTATTGTTATGTGAGGTGATAGGCTTTAAACTAATCTTATTGTGGTAATCACTTCACAATGTTTTGAAATCATCACATTGTACATCTTAAACCTACACAGGGTAGGTCAGTTATATCTCAATAAAGCTGGGCGAAAAAAGAATAGGACCTCGGCCCTGGCCGGTTTGGCTCAGCGGTTAGAGCGTCGGCCTGCGGTCCAGAGAGACCCGGGTTCAGTTCCTGCTAAGGGCACGTACTTCGGTTGCAGTTTGTCCCCAGCCCTGGTTGGTCGTGCGGGTGGCAGCCACTCGATGTGTCCCTTAAAGTCGATGTTTCTCTCTCTCTTCCTCTCTCTCCCTCCACTCTATCTGTACAAAAAAAAAAAAAAAATGGAAAAATATCCTCGGATGAGGATAAAAAAAAAAAAAGAATAGGACCTCGGAGTTACTGCCAGCTTTGGCCGTGATTAAGATCAGAATTTTGCCTGCAAAGTACGTTGCTTTGGTACCTGTGTCAGAATGAATCTGCAAAGGCAAAGACTGACACTGCCTATTTGTCACAGGTCCAAACCTGCTCCTCTCCAGCCCTCTGTCCTCTCTTGTAAGTGTGGGAAATTGTGGAATGACTGAATCATCAGCACTGGCCGATTTTGCTTATGGAAGCCACAGATCAGCAGGCTTACCTCTCTGATCTCACAACCTACTTCTCTCCTACTGCCTTCTTTTGTTCCACAAACACATGGAAGCGCACGTACCTTGGGCCCTCGCATGTACTGCTCCTTCTGGCTGGGACAGGCTCCTGCCACATCTTCAGATGACTAGCTCCTGCCCCTGTCTCCTGTTCTTAGCTCAAACCCGGCCTCCTCAGTGAGGACTGGGCTGATCCCCCTTTCTAAATGACCTTGCTCTCCCCAAGGCATTAATCCCATAACATCAGAGATCTTCTTGGGTCTTTGATTTGCTTACTCAAATGGCACGTACACAAGACATGTTCTTGTCATTTGCTGTGTTCAATGAATAAATAAATAGTCACTGTGCTTCTCTTGAGGAAAACCTGTGCCTTAGGTTGAGGTTTTAACACACAAACATAGGAGGCGTAAACACTGACTTGGGGGTACTCGGTATTTGGATATCAGTCAGTGCTGAGGAACAACCAGAGATGTGATCATTGTGTAGATGGGCAAGGAGTGAGGATGGTGGAGCTAGGGAACTTCATAAGAAACAAGGTCTCTGAACCAAAATCAGCCTTGGCTGTGTACAGCGAGACAGATGATCATTTTTTAAAAAGCCATATTTTCCCTTTTCTTTGCAACTATTTACAGTGGATTTTTAAAAACTGACCAACTAGTTAGTCAACAGAGCTGGTTGCTTATCTCTAGATCTGGTTTTTAAAGATATTCTTCATTTTGATAAAAATCTTCCTCATGAGCCCCTTGACTGGATGTAGCATGAAAAACAAAAACAAAAAGACCCAAGTAATGTGGGTGTTGGATCAAAGGGAAAACACGAGGACTGAGAGTAAGAAGACCCAGATTACAAGACCCTAAAGAAATTCCATTTATTCATTCGACAAAAATTGAATAGTGCCAGGAGCTGTTTAGTAAATTCAGTTAGTGAACATGGCAGACCCAGTCCTTCAGGAGTTACGTTCTAGTGGGGATAGGAATAGGGAAATAAGAACAACACTTTTTGATCTGCAGTTTTATCTTCTAAAAACATGTGGGTAGACTAGATCATCTGTAAAATTCCTCCTAACTGTACATGTTTTGAAAGAGAAGAAAGAAATGTTGGAAAGCTTAGCACTGGTTACTTTAAGGGAATAAATCATGGGTGATTGAAGTTTCACTTTTCTTATCATTGCTTTCTGATGTTATTTTCTATCATGAACTCACATTACACATGAAGTTAGAAAAAATGTTTAAGAAAACAGCAGATTGTCCTTTGCAATGTGGGCATTGATTCTTGATGACTTGAAGGTATGTCATTTATCCATCAGTAATGGGAACTGTAGATAGGAATGGCCTTACCCCTCAGTGACTTCCTTTTTAATTTACCTTTACCTCTGTGTGTACTGGTTTATTCTCTTTTCCCTGAACCTTTGATGCTCTTCTCTACCTAGAGATGTTCAGGCACAGCTACAGAATCAATCTCTCTCTCTCTCTCTCTTTCTCTCTCTCTCATACACACACACACACACACACACACACACACACACACACAGAGCCTCTTCTCATCCTCCAACCTTCATAGCTCAGTTTAAATGTTACCTCCACAGAGAGGCCTTACCTGAGTGGTCAAAGAATTTCATTCCTACCTTAGACTTGCCATGCTAACCCTAGTAGTCCTTATCATCTCTTTTCTCCTCCAGAGCACCCTTCTCAACTTGTCATTTCATCTGCATTTTATTTTTCTTTGCAAGCCTACTGTCTATTTCCCGCACGAGTTTGAAGTTACAGCATGAAAATAGGGATGGTCTGTTGTGTTCACTACTCTACCCCTAAGGCCTAACTATCATTGGTTCAGTGAGTGAATGGATGAATGAAAGAAAGAGAGAGAGAGAGAGAGAGAGAGAGAGAGAGAGAGAGAGAGAGAGGAAGGAAGGAAGGAAGGAAGGAAGGAAGGAAGGAAGGAAGGAAGGAAGGAAGGAAGGTCTCCTTTGTCCTCTCACTATCAAGAGTTATTCCCATACAGTGGTATACGGCAGCCAGTTCCTTGATAGCTCACAAGAGCTCATTGTTAAATACTCAGAATTTTAGTTGTTAAACTATTCATAGCTTGACATCGGCTATACTGAGAGTATTTATACCATGAACATTGCAAATCCTACATGTCAAGTCATTCTTTTATCTTAAGAACTAGTTATCTTTTATCTTAACACCACTGCTCTTATCTCCTAAATCCCACCTGAAATACTGATGGCACCATGGCAATAAACGTGGCCCAGAAGTTACTTAAAACTTTCAATAAAAAATTAAATTTTAAAAAATGCTAAATATATGCTGTACAATTATTTTCCTGTTGGGAATACTCGGTCTATTTATAAGCTAAATTCTAATCTAAAATATGTGTCTCTGGTCTCCTAAACATTTTGTTTCTTTTTTTCAGATCCTTATGTGAAGATTCATCTGATGCAGAATGGCAAGAGGCTGAAGAAGAAAAAGACGACAATTAAAAAGAATACACTGAACCCCTACTACAATGAGTCATTCAGCTTTGAAGTACCCTTTGAGCAAATCCAGGTAATGTCAAACATAATATTGTCTTCCTATTTCATTTCACTTCTTCAGACCATACAAATTAAACACGCAGACATTGTACATTACCAGAGCGTATGCCTTCAGTAGAACTGCCATTCTTACTCAAGCGACATCAAGAGAAGGACAAAATACACAGCCCAGGAAGTGCTGATTCATCAGCCAAACACAGCTGGCATTTTGTTGAGCAGAAATAAAGTAGGAACAAGAACATCAACAGAACAACTCTATTAACCCAAAAAGTATATCCATAAAGATAAAAAGGCCAAGGACAAATGGGCTTTCACTATTCACTCCCAGGCCATAATATGTAATTCTTCTAATCACATATTTACAGAAAGTGAGAGAGGCAGAGAGAGAGAGAGAAGTATATGGGTTGATGCTAAATATGCTGCATCTTTAAGCTTTATTATTTTTTTTTTTTTTCTGTATTGATTTTAGAGAGAGGAAGGGAGAGGGAGAGAGAGATGGAAACATCGATGAGAGAGAATATCCACTGGCTGCTTCCTACATGCCCCCTAATGGAAATTTGGCCCACAACCTGGGCATGTGCCCTGACCAGGAATCAAACCAGAGACCTCTTGGTTCATGGGTCAATGCTCAACCACTGAGCCACACCGGCCAGGCTAAGCATTATTATTAAAAGACAATTAACAATAGAAAAATTAGGCTAAGTTTTATCTTTAATTTTTTAAATTTAGCTTCTTGTTTCTGAGTACAAGTGGATGGGTATTTTTGTAAAAATGGAACCTTAATTTGCTGATAATAATTGTTATATAGGAAGTATTCTATTAGAAGACTTTGTGCTTAACATGTTCAGAATAAGATGCTACATGAGTCAGAATGATAGCATATGATCTTATTATTTAGCTATTTTAAAATAAGATTTAACCTTAATATTGATTTAAGGTTTTCTCACTTCATATTCATAGTTAGTTTTTTAGAATCCAAAGTTCACATTCAGTAATTTTTGGTTATTTCTTGTTAATTTTTAATAGTTTCAGAGAGTCAAATGCTTAAAGGATCATTACTTATTGATATAGATTCATGTTTTCACAATATAAAAGTTTGCCCCTAATTTGAAGGAGAAATGAAGGGGTAGGCATCAAAACAACTTGGAACTCAATACAGGTCCAGCATAACAAATATCAGCAAATACTCTTTAGTTGCATATTTATACTTTTAATCTACTCTTAGAATAAAGAATCTCATGAGGGAATCACACCTTTATTCTATGAAGAAAGCTAAGAAAATAGCATTTATTGTATATTTACTTAGTGCCGAGGCCCAAATTACTCACTTTATATGTCTAATCTCATTTCATCCTTACCATAACCTTATGAGAGAGATTTCATTATCATCTCAATTTTATATATCAGGAAACTGAGGCTTAGAATTTCCTCATGTGTAAAATAAGAGTAATAATGGAATCCACATCAAAGTAAGATTCTGCAGATAAAAGCTCTTGGATCAGTGCGGAGCACACAGGAACACTCAGGAAATGGCTCCCATCATGATTATTATTCACAATGCTAGTGTTGTCTCTTTTTCAAATTAACATTTTATTGGAAAATGGATCTAACAATGAGATTAAAGCAATATACAACTCAGCGCTGCCCAACAGAACTCTCTGTGAGGATGGAAACCCTTCGTTGTCTGTGTTGTTCAATATGGTGAGCACCGCAGTCACTGACATAATCAAGGAACTTTATTTATTTTTCATTTATTTAAATGTAAACAATGACATGTACCTAGTATATTGTATAGGGCAGTTTTTTAAAAGTTAATAATCCCACCATCCTCACATTGGTTTGTGGTTTTTATATAACCTTTCTTATGTACATTTTCACATGGCAGCAAATCATGCTTATGTATTTACTTTCAACAGCTCTTATATAAGTAAATGACATTGCAGAGGACACTGATTCCCTGCCCCCAGTGACTTGTTCTCTAGTCCAAACCAGTGAGCTCTCTGCTTTGGACCCACAGCAAACCCCTAAGACATCCAACTATCTCCAACAATTTATTTTGCAATACTTGTTTAGTGAACTCTTCTGAGTTGTAAAACCTCTTTCCTGTGGAAACTAACACCTCCTGGTACTTTGCATTGTAATTCCACAAAACAATATGAGGCAGGGCACTGAGATGAAAATTTATTTTGTATACCTTCCTCTTTGAGCTACAATTCTATACTTGTTTTCAAAAATAAATGGCCCTGGCCGGTTTGGCTCAGCGGTTAGAGCATCGGCCTGCGGTCCAGAGAGACCCGGGTTCGGTTCCCGCTAAGGACGCGTACCTCGGTTGCAGTTTGTCCCTGACCCTGGTTGGGTCGTGAGGGTGGCAACCCCTCAATGTGTCCCTTTCACGTCGATGTTTCTCTCTCTCTCCCTCCCTCCCACTCTATATAAACAAAATAGCAAAAATAAATAAATAAATGTCATTTTTCAACTATAAACTGCAGCAAATGCAGATATATTGAAAATGAAGTGCATGAAAAACAAAACCTGCTGGGTTTCTGAGGCAGCATTTTGGAGGAGATAACATTCTGTTAAGTACAGAGGGAGCCCGAGCCCCACAGAGTACACTGGGCGTGGGGATAATGGGCATGCCTTCGACTGCATCCCTCCCCTCTGCTCCCAGATCAATTTATTCTTTTCTTTTCTTCTTTTCCCTCCCAGGAGGCTGCTTTCCTAGTCTTTGCATTTCCCTAGAGAAAGTAATTGAGCATTTCACATGCCATAATAGGGGTTTAGGCTTCCTTTATCTTACAGTTATAAGGTTATCTGTCTTTCTGTCTCTATCCCTATGAAATATATTACGAGAGAAGAAAAATATGCTGATTTCCAAATGTACATGAAAATGTTGCATTCTCTCCCCCCAACCCCGCACAAATGTATAAATCGTACGCAGCTGGAAAAATTAATCCAAGCCCTTCATAAGGATATTTTTGCCGTATTACTAATCAGTACATTCCTAGGTGAATAATCAAAACTCATTTCCACCACTCACTCCAACCTCCAAAAACCTTTATTACCTTTGTGCACAATGTCCCCACTGCCCTGTGGCCCCCTTCCCTGCGATATGACTGAGTCCTGATGAGTTTGCATGGGAAAAGTTCTCAGAACCAAGCTCAGGTCCAAACACCATCCAGTGGGTAGGTAATTCCCTTGACAATGGAAACCATCCAAGACTGCACAAAGAAAGACAGGAGTGTTTTCTTTATTGCCAGAGTGTTTCATTTCTCGTTCTAAATTTCACTTTGAGAAGTGATCATTTTCTCTGATCTGAAGCTGCACCCGGGCACCTTCTCCCACACGTTGATGCAAGAACGCAGTCCTCAGAGTGCAAAGTCTACGGCAGGCCAGAACTCCACTGGGGCTCCATCTGTCTCTGGCTTCTGCTCTCTTTAACTCTAGCCACCAAATGTGATGCATCTACTCTATTCTCAAGTCTTCCTTTATCTTTTTTTTTTTATTAATTTGTTTTTGTTACAGATGTTTCTCCTTTTTCCTCCATTGACACCCTCCTCCCTATGTCCCCCACCCCGCCCCATCCCCAGCTTTGTTGTCCATGTCCATCGGTTGCATACATGCATATAAGTTCTGTGGTTTATCTCTTCCCCTCTCAACACCCTCTCCTCTGAGGCTTGTCAGTCTGTACCCCCACCTCTATGTCTCTGGGTCAATTTTGTTCATCAGTTTTTTTAGTTCATTATATTCCAGAAATAAGTGAGATCATGTGATATTTTTCTTTCTCTGCTTGGCTGGTTTTGCTTAGCATAGTAGTCTCCAGGTCCTTCCATGTTGTCTCAAAGGATAAGAGATTTTTCTTTCTTATAGCTGCATAGTATTCCATTGTGTATATGTACCACAGCTTTTTTATCCACTCATCTACTGATGGACACTTGGGTTGTTTCCAGATCTTAGCTATTGTAAATAATGCTGCAATGAACATGGGGGTTATTGAAAGCATGTATGAATGGAAAAAAAATATCTTTATTTGGTTGCCCCTTTCTAAAGACCTTTACTCTTACTGCCACATTTTATATTTCCAATAATTATGGGATTCGCTGAAATTCTATGTTGGTTTTATGTAAAATGTTGGCTCTGCCACCTCCCAGCAAAATGGAATTGCTGTTCATGGGACTGCTTTGGGAATTGTAACTAAACAAGAACAGTCCGAGCGCCAGTGTCAGAAGTTTCCCCGATGAGACAACTGACATAAATGGATGTGGCGATGGACACAAGTTGGCACGGACAGCAGAGTGTGTGGCTCACAGCACCGACTCTGGCAACCCAAAGTCTATTCCTTATATGACCTCAGCCCGAGTTCTTCACCCCTCTGAGCGTCATCATCTTATCTATGGAATGGCTATACTAATGGGATCTGTTATGAGAAGTAACTGAGCAGTTTATGTAAAAGACTTAGAACAGTGCCAAACACAAAATGAAAATAAACATTTACTGAGTAGTTTGAGAAGGTGACGACAGCAGTGATACTGGTGGTGATGATGATGTCATCATGGCAAAAGAGGGGAGACGTGCTTTCACATTCAAGTCGTTTTCACCCTCACCCTGATGTGTGGAAATTGAGTCTTCATTACTTCCAGTTCCTTAGGTCTCCAGGAAGCTTTGTCATAGGGCGGCATCTCTAGGGCTGGCTGATTCATGTTTATTTTGTGTCCTCTTTCAGAAAGTGCAAGTGGTGGTAACTGTTTTGGACTATGACAAGATTGGCAAGAACGATGCCATCGGCAAAGTCTTTGTGGGCTACAATAGCACCGGGGCGGAGCTGCGACATTGGTCAGACATGCTGGCCAATCCCAGGCGACCCATTGCCCAGTGGCACACCCTACAGGTAGAGGAGGAAGTTGATGCCATGCTGGCAGTCAAGAAGTAAAGGAAAGAAGCCTTTCTGCATTTGCCCACATAGTGCTCTTTAGCCAGTATCTGTAAATACCTCAGTAAATGGGTCCTTTCGTTTTTCCAGCCATGCGTTCCTAACACAATTCAGTGGTACTTCAAATCCTGTTTTAATTTGCACAAATTTAAACGTAGAGAGCCCCTGAGTCCTTCATCATACCACTGCCCTCCAAATCTACTCTTCTTTTAAGCAATATGATGTGTAGATAGAGCATGACTGAAATTATTTATTGTATCACACAGTTGTATATACCAGTATGCTAAAGATTTATTTCTAGTTTGTGTATTTGTATGTTGTAAGCGTTTCCTAATCTGTGTATATCTAGACGTTTTTAATAAGATGTTCTATTTTAAACTATGTACATTGACTGAGATATAGGAGAGCTGATAATATATTCTATGGTAAAATATAGTATCGCCTGCATTCCAGCAAAAATATCAACGTGTAAGGCACTAGTACAGTGAAACTGACATCTTAAAGGACAACTTAAACCTGAGCTTTCTATTGAATCATTTGAGTACCAAGATACACTTACACCACGTATTTGGTGGGTTAACCCAATTTTGTAGAATTTCTTCCCAGGCACATTAGCACGATCTGAGCAGCATCCAGGCTGATCTCCAGGAAGCCGAGCCACAAAACAGAACAGCATCTGTCTGTACATATCTACAAAGCTAAAACCAGGGCTTCACTCTTACATTTGAAGGAGCAACTAAACAGGAGTCAATGATTTCATATTACTGCGTAGAGAGTCGCAACCTGATGGTATTCTGTGTGTGTGTGTGTGTGTGTGTGTGTGTATACACGTGTGCGTGTGTGTGCATGCGTGCATGTGTGCGTGCCTTTGTTTAAAGACGGGGGTGGGTGGGAAGAAGCTGAGGGAAGAAGTCAGCATTTCTGAAATATTGCCTGACTATTTAAAAAGAAACAAAGTAGCTCTCCGTGTCACCTTTCTACAAAATGTGCATCCTGTGGATTCTGTCCCAGATTTCACGCCTCTAATAATTCCAAAACATTTGCACACTAGACTTTGTAACAAAATATTTTATTATATGAAACCAGATTAGAAGGAATGCAGAATATTTTTAACACAGCAATCTGGGCTTACTACACAAAAGTTACTTTGTGGTAAACAGACAGTATTGTAAACCCGTTAAAAGAGGAAAAGTAAACAATTAGCCATAGTTCTGAATGCACTTCAATTAAGCCAAAACAGACAGCTAGTGACCTTTTTATATGCTCTTTTTACTTAAATAAGTTTTAATTTGTCCTTTAAAAAAAAAAAAAAAAAAAAAAAGGTGAAACAAAACCAAGAACAAGTTCTAGAAAACTGAAGCAACCTCTTATGTATTCTAGATGCTTGATTTAGGAGGAGTTTTTAAATGTTTTCCATGTTATTATGTAGTAAATGGCACTATTGTGAAGCTACTAGTCATTCCATAAGAGTCTTCAAGGACTGCTCTGTGTAACACTGTGACTGCCGTGTGTGCTTAGACACGTAGTTTCCTCAGTGGATAGCACCAGTTTATCCCGTAGTGATATTGTGAACTATACTGCCACTCCCTTCTACTGCACTGCCCGAGGTGTGTAGCACAAACAGTTCTCGTTACAAAGGACCAATTCAGAACTGAAAAGCTATGCATAGGACAAGGAAGACACAGAACAGGGCGGGACACAGCATTCTGTCAAGCACTGTGCAATATTCCGTGTTTCCCCACCATGGCAGACAACCACTCTGTGGAAGGGCAGCTGGTATCTCACCGCCGCGAGTCTTTCCTCCCACCCACTCCTGTGGCCCATTTTAACGACCAGGGCACAGGGAGTAGCCTGCCCTGAGGTAGGAGCCGCCCTTCACAAACACCCTAACGACGTGGAGGAGAACTAAGCTCCAGCCTCATGTTCAAACTGTAGGGTATCATGCCACATTTTTTTTTTAACAACTCAAAGAGAATTTAAAAAGGGCTGGTGGGAGGTTTGGAACACAGGGTGAGCTGTTTTCTGATATAACTAGAAGTCTTGTCATTATTCTCTCCTTGTCAAAGAAGAGGCATGCCCTTTGACCTTTCAGCCCAGTGACAGCAAACTCTAGAACTGGGACAGACAAAAAGGACAAAAGAAGAATAACATCTCCCTGTTCCATGGAGGGTCCACCTTTTTAAAAACAAAACATGTAGATACTAGAAAATGCACAAGCCATGACATCAGATCAGATAGTTTGAACAGAAGCGTCCAATGAGAATCTCTCCACTGCAAAGGACCAAACCCCACCAAAGAGAGGGAGTCGATTGACTTGTAGAAATTCCTGAACTACCAGAAACTGACCTTTAATTTTACTGTATTCAGCTTTAAGTCGTTTACACTGAAACAATACTTTAAAACAAGCAGGTTCGAGCTGCCGAAGACACACAATTTCTTGCATTCAAGTACCACTAATGCATTCTCTCGCAACACTGCCAGGCATGGGATATTGTCACCACAGACTCGGTCGGTACGAACCATCTCTCACAAGTCAGTGTCCGGACCTGCTTGAAGACCAAGACTCGTCCTTAGACAAGCCACACGTACCTTTCTGACAAAGCTGTGTAAAGTGTTAGAACCTGATGCTCTAGAAAGATCCTAGTTGCCTTTGTGTATATTTACTGCCTGCTTGAGTGTTTCTATGTGTGGGTTTTCTCTGTATCTCGTAGAAATGTTGGGGTGTTTCCTTCTGCCATAAGGCTCGTGGCCCGCGAGCCGACGACTCTAGCTGTATTTACCTTCATTTTTGATGAGGTGGTTTAAATTTTGTTTTACTTCGTGTAGTGAATCCCACAGTAGTTTTCTGATTGTTGTTAAAAATAACTTAACATATGACACGGATATTCAATAAAAATGTTTTATTTCCTGTTGACGTTGCCACCTCTCAACTCTTTGTCTTACCTGGCTCTGGCGGGAAGTCCACAGCCGTGGATTTGGGGGCTGCTGGGAGCGGAGGCAGCTGAGCAAACCTTGCCCCACGCCAGCCCTGGTTCACGTCCGCCAAGACCTGGCTGAAGGGAAACAAGGCCCAGCGTACATCCGGCCAGTACTGCCCAGGGCTGGGGCAGTCAGTCTCAACATGTCCCTCTGTTTATGATCAGCTCACCTGGTGCAATTCCAGGCCTCCTGCTTTGCCCAAAATACGTCCTCCAGGGTCTTTACTCTCAAGCCTAAGTCACACAGCCTCTCCAGAATGGGACTGAAAACAAGATTTTTAAACCCCATTTTTGGAGGGCAGCATGACATTCAATATCCTACCTACTGCAATTACTAGAGAAAAAGGTGAACATCTTTCCTCCTCTAAGTTCAACATGTATCAGGTGCCTACCGTGCACTATGTTTTTACTGGATGTGGGAGATACAATGGACGACAAGGTGGGGTACCCCTGGCCCCAGGGCCCACCGTCAGACAGACTAGTGAACACACCATCACCATACACTCCAATGCGCACCTCAGATCCCTGAGCGCTTTCACTAGACCAGTCACAGTGGACCTCTTGGGGTGCCACCTTGATGCCCCTCTGCACTGAGGCACTCAGCCTGCTTCTGCCAGAAGCCTTGCTGCGGACAGCTCACGGCTGTGTCCTTCGACCTTCACTGAGGAGGCTGTCTTCCCTACGAGCTCGGCACCCTCCCGGGCAGCACGCACCCCCCGGCCCTGGCCGCATCTCCGGGGTGCTCGCTCAGCCCACAGCCCCGGGGTAGGTGAATGCTTTTGCACATACAGTTCAAATGCTTCCTCTGCACCTCCCCACCCCAGTTTTCCTTGTTCCTTCACAGGTGTTATTCCCAAGAGCACACCCCAGTAAAACCCCTTCATCTTAGAATCTGCATCCTGGGGAACACGGCCCATTACACATTTGGGGGGGCAAGGGAGAGGTATCAAGAAAAGTTTTCTAGAGGAAACAACATTGAAGGGACTCCCTAAAGGAACGGTAGGAGTTCACCTCGTGAGCAGGCACAACTGTGACAAAATCTATGTCATTTGACAAGGCTTAAAGTTCACCCAGGATAGGGTCTTTGAGAGCTGGCTACACCACCCTCCCTTCAGCCAGCTTTCATTAGGCACAGCCAACAGCGAGGGGACCAAGCTGGGACTGCTCCGACCGGGAGCTACTGCACACCCCGAGGGGATGACTGGGGGGCTCCGCAAGTCAGCTGAGAAAAGGGGTTTGAAGGGGGCCCCCAGGGTTAGGCACACACACACAAATCAGCATTATAAGTACATGTGTTTGGTTTTCCATGGCGAACATTTTGTTTTTCTTAGATAGCACTTGGCATTATGTACAAAACTAGAATATTTTTTAATGAATTATCAAAAAAAAAAAAAAATCATCTCATCCTTTTGTCAATGTCTGTTTTCCAAAAAGGTTTTTTGATCTAGTATAGATACACTTAGGATATTTGTCAGGTGTTTGAGTCAGGGAAACAGCCCCCGCAAGTGTTTCAGGGAGGGGGTTTTGCAGGAAATTCCCCTTCTGAGGTGTCAGGGGTTGGGGGGAGGGGCACAGTTCAGCCACACCACCTCCACCAAGTCTGGGAAAACAAAGTGGAGAAGACAGGGTTAATGGGGCCCCGAACTTACAGGAGGGGCGAGAACTGTGGGGGCTCCATTTGTCTGGGACCATGAAGGGGCTCCAGTGCTGGTGGGGGGAACACAGAGAGGCAGAACCTGGAAGGTTTGGGAAGGCCAGCAGCCCTGCCCCCGCAGCAGCCCAGTGGGGCTTAGCTGGCAGGACGGGGGCCTTCTCCTCTCTCCTAACCCAGCTCAGCCAGTGCCTGCATTGGCAGAACCCAGTCAGCATGGGCGGGCAGAGTCCAGGGACCAGCCTGCTGGTCTGAGAGCCCACCCGCGCGCACAGCAGAGCAAGCACAGGTGCAGTGAGGGCAGCGACCAGTGCATCAGAGGTCTTGGTGCTCTCAGGCTGCTATCACAGAAATACCACAGATGGGTGGTTTGGTCTGGCGGCTGGGAAGTCCAAGCTTAAGGCTCCTGCACATTCAGTGTCTGAGAGGTCGTCCTCCTGCTGTGTCCTCACAAGATAGAAAGGGACAAGAGAGCTCTCTGGCATCTCTCTCTCTCTCTCTTTTTTTAATCCTCATCCAAGGATATGTTTTTATTGATTTTCTAGAGAGAGTGGAAGGGAGAGGGAGACATAGAGAATCACTGATGTGAGAAACATCCATCGGCTGCCTCCAGCACACACCCCAACCCGGATCGAAACCTCCTCCTTTTGGTGTATAGGACAACGCACCAACCAACCACGCTGGCCAGGGCTCCCTGGGGCCTCTTTCATCAGGGCCCTGATCCCATTTATGAGGCTCCACCCTCATAACCTAATCACCTTGAAAAGGCCCCACCTCCTAATAAGAGTTTTAGGATTAAAAAAAAAGAGTCTTAGGATTTCAACACAAAAGTGTGGGAGTCTCACACTGTTTAGCAGCTGCCCAGACTTTCTGAATTCTCTAGTTTCTTCCTTGGAAGATTCAAGCGTATCTTACCCACGCTAGACATCACAAACCTGACAAAACAGATGCACCAAAATCACGTTCCTGCCCTGGCTGGTGTGGCTCAGCGGTTAGTGCATCAGCCCTTCTCACACCAAAGGATCACCAGTTCGATTTCAAGTCAAGGGCATGCACCTGTGTTACAGGTCAGTCCCAGGCTGGGGCATGTGTGGAAGGCAACCAATTGATGTCACATCAATGTTTCTCTGTCTCTCTCCCCACCCCTCCCTTCTACTCTCTTTAAAATTCAATAGAAAAACTATCCTCGGGTGAGAATTTAAAAAAAGATTACATTCTTATTCTAATTATGCAGAGAGTTTACTATTACAGATTTGACATTTCAACCATGATTACAGTTACCCCCTCACTGCAACACATCTTTATTATATATGCACCAGACTCTAATGTTTAGCAACTGATTTCAGCTTCACACAAATCTTTACCATTAAACAGTCAGAAGGCAACTTTGGAATAAAGAGATAAAGAATCGGGAAAATAAAAATGAGAAATAGCCTAATTCTAAACCTACAAAGAAATTTTCCAAAGCCTACAGAATAATAATTATTCAGGAGGAAGCATCAAGAAGGAACAGTAATAAAAACTGATGCAAAACACCATGCAAAACTGATAATTTGTGATCTAACTTCTGAGGCTGGCTGAAAGTTACCTGCATTTTTTTTTTAAATATGTTTTTATTGATTTTTTTAGAGAGAGAAAGGGAGAAACATTGATCAGCTATCTCCTGCATGCCCCCTACTGGGGATCGAGCCT